GTAAGCTTCCCTCTTTCACTTGATGAAGTGGAACACACTTTAAAACGATGGTGGAAGGGAAGGGAAGTTAGCGAGTGAATCATTAACTGTAGATTTGCTCTAACTGAATAATTTGATTCAGTGAATCATTAACTGTAGATTTGCTCTAACTGAATAATATGATTCAGTGAATCATTAACTGTAGATTTGCTCTAACTGAATAATTTGATTCAGTGAATCATTACCTGTAGACTTGCTCTAACTGAACCATTTGAATCAGTGAATCATTAACAAAAGAACTGCTCTAACTGAATCATTTGAATCAGTGAATTGTTAGCTGGAGACTCTCTCTGTCACAGAATCAATTCAATCAGCAGGTTGTTGAATTAAGAACAGATGGAAACAGATTAGTCCAGCATGATCTGTAAACTGATTTAACAGGTTAAATGAAAAGAATCGGCTTTGATTCAGTAAATGCTACAGTGTCTTGGAGTGGGTTCTTTTAAGCAATGTAAAAAGTGCTCTACAACCAATGGGAGTTCCAAAAAGTAGTGTAAACATCTTAGGTAAGTGTATAATTGTAATGGTGTAAAAGCAGTACCTGTACTACAGTGATGCTGAGGCGTCCAGCAGTGCCTAAAGATCCTCCGTACTGCAGCTGTCGGGCCGCCTGTGCGTCTAACTGCACTTGCTGCTGCTGCTGAGTCGGCATGATCCTCAGAAAATCCTGAGGCAACTCACCGATGTAAACCTGAACAGAGAATAAGAGCAGTTTCTCAATTCTGTGCAATTAATTATAAGATTTATAATACCACAAACAGTCTTTTTTATATATTGTTTTGTATTATATTATATTATATTATATTATATTATATTATAATATATTATATTATATTATATTATATTATATTATATTATGAGTAAATAAATAAGCATTGCTTATATAATATAATATATTAAAATGTTTCTTTTTTTATTAACTTGAGCATTTTAATAGTTTCGTTATTTTTAATTAATGCTAAATTAATGTCGTTTTTTATATTGATCGTCTCGTATAATCTAATGGAGCCATGTCTGATTTTTTTAATATGACAGTTTTTGGTGTGATGTGCTTCATGACAAAAAAAAATGCATTGAATTATTTTAATTTTCATATAGAGATCCTACAAAACCAAATTATGTAAACAAGTGCTTTGGGAGTCTGGCCATACATAATTAATGCACATTACATAGCGTTATAAATCAAGTAAACAATAATCTCCCATACAGGAGGATCTAGCAAGACTTGGTGGTCAGATCGATGCATTTCAACAGACTTTTTTTTACTGTATTTTACTGTTTATTTTATTGGATACCATCAATAGATGATAGTAGTCCATAGTCAGTCTAATTCAAAGCAGCAGCTTTTTTGTCATGTCTGTCCTGTACAGGTTCTTTTATTAAAGAAAAGGCCCAAATACTATATATATATATATATATATATATATATATATATATATATATATATATATATAAATATATATATATATATATATATATAAACTAGTTTAGTTTTTGATCAAATGCTGTAGAAAATAAGATAATAATAGTATAAGCAAAATAAATGCTTTGCTAATAAATTAAGGTTTAAAATATGCATTTTTCCCAAAACAATCAGTTTTAAAAATGTCAGATATGCACCTTCAAAACATTTTTGAAGAAGGAGGTGGGTCCTGAAATGAAAAAGGTTTAGAACCCCTGGTATAGTACATTAGCACATCTATGGCATTGCACCAATACCGAGTAGTCCAAAAGTGCCTGTCATTACGTCATGCATCAACTTCCCTTTACAAACTAACGTTACGTGCTAAATCACGAGTTTGATTGTCGATACACAATAATAAACACGCTTAAAACGGCCAAATAAAATAACAATACACACTAATTAATAAATTTAATGTATACTTAAAAATGAACACAAGAAAATCGATGTGAAAGTGGTTTAATTTGACTGTTTACATGCTATGTGGATAGAAACTGCTAATTAATGTCCGATAAACACATCTATATTTAGTGTGCTGTTGTCACATCATGACAGATCTCAATGCTTCAGCAGAACTGTCCGACATATTCATATTTTGGTATTTTGCGTTGGTATTTATCAAACATTGTGATGTTTAGACGCACATTAAGCTGTATTATTCGTGTATTATCTGTAAATACACACTGACATGATGATAATTCTGTACTGCGCAACTTCCAATGTTTGTTTTCATTGGGGAAATACATCTTATGCTGAGAGTGCTAGCATGATGTTTGCTATTGGAGAAGAGTCTCTTACCTGTCCTCGTTGCGTGCTTATTGTTGTCGCCATTCTGCTGTTATGATATGACGGACAGCGCCTGTCTTGTCTTTTAAATTAAGCAAAATGTAAAAGATAATTACGTCAGGATGCACTGATATCTATCGATACGCATCAGCGGAGCTCAAAACCGGAAATGACCACCCCTCCAACCCCCGCCCTATTTCACAAGTCAAATTAAAAGTCCCTATGATATTATCTATTATGATGATATTCATAATAAAACAAGTATGATAGCGAATTCTGCGTGAAAATATAATAAAACAGAAAATAATTAAGTTATATCTACTGATAATGTATATTAACATATCACAATTGCCACCCACCTGAAAATGTACACAGAAAACCTACGTAACAATTAATTATAAAGCTATGTACCAATTTACTATAATAGATTTATTCTATAATATGATATATTCTAAACAAATACATACACAAATTAAAAATGTATAGATTAAGAAATTTTTATTATGCATAGCTACAGTGTTCATGATTTAAACACTATTAACTCTAAATAATACATTGAGGTAAGATTATTTTTGTTTAGTTTTGTCTGTTAAAGTAGCTGTAGTATTGTTCATAATATTTAAGATCATCATAGGAGCTCCATATTAGAAATTAGCAATTTTTAAGCAACAATTTCAACCTTAAATGTTGGTTTACAACCTTATATAGGGGAATTACCAACTTATGTCACACATGACATCACACGGGTTTAACCACGAATACTGGTTGCAATAGCAAACATGTGGTGTTGTGCGGTAGGACGCCAATATCAAAAACTTAAATTTTTCCGTACACAACACTGCTTTTAATGCCAACCGCAGATGTCTTTGGCTAACAGCCATCATAAGAGCTGAATGGAGTGAGCACCTAATTAGAAATGCTGGACTCTGCAGTTCTCATACATCAGATGAGTTCACGCTTTGTTGAATCATACACATTACTCATTTTTGATTGCAGCAATGATTTCAGCAAAAACAGTTAAATATAGTGAACTAAACTGCGGACACTGAATGCTTAGAATAAAATGTAATCATGTAGGTTCACATACCCTGCCGTACAGGTGTAGTTCGCTGTCCGAATCCAGTTGTTCTGCTTGTTGATGATTACCCAGGCCTTGTACAGCTCCGTCTTCTTTCCTTGTTTTTGGCTAGGCAAAACCTTGGTTTTTAGCTCTACATAGTTTTGAATCTGGTGATTGCACATGACCACACAAAACAAAACTGTAGGCATCCAAAGACTTGTAGGCCTTTAACTTCTCTCTTGTAAAATCACTTGGAGCTTGAGATAGTTGTATATTTGGGGCTGGATGCTTGGCCATTTCGTCTTATCTAATATCCATTGGGAGGGTGCTATCGCAAATGGACCTGTCAGATGAACGCCGCTCACTATAACGTTAATTTTGCCAAATAACTGTGCTTATCACTGGGTGACAAGCTATTAGCGGTTAAATAATATATATAATATTTAATCAATATAACTTATTTCTAATACAACAACAAATTCTGTACCGCATCAGATGTCAATCCCTCGCTGTAAATGCAAGTGCTCTTGGTTTTTTTCTGCAACCTTTCTGAATGTTTACAAACTGGTTATTCATCTATTGAAGATACTAATATGAGCCACATATTATAAATTGGTAATTTTAAGCAAAAATTTCAATCAACAATGTCCCATCCCTACTGAAAAAAACAGCTTAAACCAGCCTAGGTTGGTAGGCTAGTTTTAGAGGGGTTTTGGCCATTTCCAGGCTGGTTTCCAGCCATTTCCAGCCTGGTCTTAGCTGGTCAGGCTAGGAGATGACCAGCTAAAACCAGCTTGACCAACCTAGCCAGGCTGGGAGCCCAGTCAAAACCAGCTATGTCCAGCTTAAACCAGGCTGGTCAAGCTGGTTTTAGCTGGATTTAGCTGGTCATTTTCCAGCATTACCAGCTAAGACCAGGCTGGAAATGGCTGGAAACCAGCCTGGAAATGGCCAAAACCCCTCTAAAACTGGCCTGGTCGGCCAGCTAAAACCAGCCAACCAGCCTAGGCTGGTTTAAGCTGGATTTTAACAGCAGGGATAGGTTGACAACTATATATTATTAAATAAAAAGACAAAAGTGATATTATAATAAAACCTGGAAGTAAAGCAAATAATGTTCACCTTAATATAAAACCAGCAAGTGAAATCTGATGTATGTAAGTTTAACTTTACATTACAGCCCCAAAATGCAAAGATAATTATATTTATCTGACTTGTTATTAACTCGAATATGTTAATTCTGACACATTTTTTATGAATAAAAATACACAAATATTTTGACAACTATTACTGTGACATCAATGAGACGTGACGCAAGTCTGCACTGACTAGTACTACCTGTTTTAGTCCATTGTTTTTACAAAACCTGTAATACGACGTAGTTTGTCTCGGGGAAAAGGAGGAGTTCAGCATTAAAAACACTTCCTGATGCAATGTGCAATGCAAATGGTTAGAAGCAAATGCCTGCTTTCCACTAAGGTAAGACTTGAGCATCGCATTTAAACGAATGTGTTTAATTTTTAAAACAACCGAGATCATTTTCGAAGTTAGCTGTGCGTTAATAATTAACGTAAGATAAATATTGCCATCAGAAAACGCTTTGATGGTATTTGTTTGATTTCTATTCGACTAATTAATAAAAAATCGGAGCTATAAACATGGTAATGATACTTAACTGATATTCAAAGTGTATTTAGTGCGGTTTTTATATTTCATTTCTGGTGTGTATACCGCTTTAAGAAATCCAACCGGGAAGTTGTCAAGCAGTCCTGACGTCGTGTTTACTATCGTGTTTCCCCACTATGGCCAGTTCACGCACACTGTTCTGCAGCTCTTGTGTTGTTGTAATTATGAAATAACTAATGTTTTCTAACAATATTCCGCTTCTTTCATTCATGCAACATGAACAGGTCCCAGCTCAAACGATCCCGAATATTAAAAATGGCCTTCACAGACTCCACTCGTCCAGGGGACAAAGAAGAGCCGTTTTTTATGAGAGCCACCAAAATCGCCCTGGTCGTGACTCTCTACTGGTTCATCTCAATCTCCATGGTTTTCCTGAACAATTACCTGTTAGACAGCAAGGAGCTCGACGCGCCGGTCTTCATCACCTTCTTCCAGTGTGTTGTGAGTGTCGGACTGTGTTTACTCATGAGTTTCCTCTCAAGCTTGTGTCCTGGATCCGTGGATTTCCCCTCATTAAAGTTTGATTTGCGGGTGTCCAGAGAGATTCTCCCGCTGACGATCGTGTTCATAAGCATGATCACGTTTAATAACTTGTGTCTGAAATATGTGGGAGTTGCCTTTTACACTGTTGGACGCTCGCTTTCCACTGTGTTTAACGTTATTTTGTCTTACGTGGTCCTCAAACAAACGACGTCCCTCTACGCGGTGCTGTGTTGCGGAGTCATTCTGGGTGAGTAAAGCAGTTTCTTTTCATAGAGGTAAAGTGGGTTTTATATTCGTAGATTCAGACTTTCCCCTTAATGATATAATATTATAATAATATAGGCTGGTTTTAGCTGGTCGACCAGGCTGGTTTTAGAGGGGTTTTGGCAATTTCCAGGCTGGTTTCCAGCCATTTCCAGCATGGTCTTAGCTGGCCAGGCTGGAACATGAGTTTCCCAGTACTGGGTTGCAGCTGGAAAGGCATCACCTTTGTAACATGCTCAACAAGTTGGCGGTTCATTACGCTGTGGTGACCACTTATAAATAAGGGACTAGCTGAAGGAAAATGAAAGAATGAATGATTCTCTTAACTCACTTAAGAGAACCATTCATTCATTTATTCATTCATTTATTTATTCACTCATTTATTCATGCATTCATTCATTTATTCATTAATTTATTCATTGATTCATTTATTCATTGATTCATTTATTCATTCATTTATTTATTAATTGATTCATTTATTCATTCATTTATTCATGCATTCATTCATTTATTCATTCATTCATTCATTTATTCATTAATTTATTCATTCATTGATTCATGCATTCATTCATTTATTCATTCATTTATTCATTCATTTATTCATCGATTCACTTATTTATTCATTCATTCATTTATTTCATTCATTTATTTATTCATTCATTTATTCATTCATTCATTCATTCATTCATTTATTCATTCATTTATTCATTGATTCATTTATTCATTCATTTATTCATTCATTCATTTATTTATTCATTTATTCATTCATTCATTCATTCATTTATTCATTGATTCATTTATTCATTCATTTATTCATTCACTCATTTATTAATTCATTCATTTATTCATTCATTTATTCATTGATTCATTTATTCATTCATTTATTTATTTATTTATTCATTCATTCATTTATTAATTCATTTATTCATTTTCCTTTTTACGTAATATTATTAAATACCTCGCGTTTTGCATGCTGGACCTTTTTTGGTAAATGTGTCTCCATTTTAGTTTATGCACATTTTGTCTTATCTGAAAAGTTGATCTTACTCACTTATCACTTTTTGACATTTCTATTAAGCATTTTATTTATTATTCCTGGGCTTTACAATGATTCAATGCATTCAAGAGTTGTTAACATTGCAGTAATCAATCCATTTCTTCAGTGTTTTAGAAATAAGTCCAGTTTAATAAATCTTAATAAAAGTCAGTTCAGTTCAGTGCACCATTAAACATTTTTAATGCAGTATATTCCAAAATGTGCAAAAAAATACGTGGATGGAATCAGTACTACTGACTATAACAAGGGTTCCCAAACTTTTCAGCCTGCGACCCCCAAAATATCAATACCAGTGACTCGCGACCCCCAATATCTTCTGAGGTGGTTATAAATACAGAGACCTTGCATGCAATGGTGCACACACACCGATAGACCAAACTCTATTCTTCATTGATTTTTTTTAATGTAAGCCAGTGCTGTAAATGTGCCAGAAAGTTGAACCTGGTGTTTTAAAATCAATCTGCTGCATATGACGCTATTACTGTGTCTGTAATATAATGTTATTACCCCAACAGTCGCAATCCAATAGAACTAGTAACTATAAGCTACTATAGTAACTATATACAGTGGTATATAGTAAATATAAACATCTATTTTTTCTTTTCAGTAGGTTATGCATAAAATATGGTAATTCTTATGGATTAAATAAAATAAATAGATTTTTGGAAATGTCCAGATAACCCTTCTTTATTGTCCCGTGACCCCTTGGGGGGGGGGGTCCCGACACCCACTTTGAGTACCGCTGGACTATACTATAGTAGACATTTCAGATTTAATTAATGGAGATTAAAGCCAGAATCCTGCCTTCATAATACCTGTGTGTTTGGACAATTAAGCCACTTTTGTGAACGAACGAACGAATGCTTTTATATTAAACAGGTCCATTAAACAACAAAAAGATTGGTTTTCATTGGTTATCCTTCTCTAATCTTAAGGTTAATAGTTTTTCCTTTGCACACCAGAAAAAATGATTGGTGGCACTTTAGTTTAGGCCACAATTCCTGCTATTAACTACTGACATATTATTAAGATATGAACTGTTCATTAGTAGTTATATAGTCTGATCTTATAATGCATCCCTAATCCTAACCAAAACCCAACTTCTACCTTCCGAACTATTAATAAACTGTTTATTAGTGATTTATTGAGCTCGTACTGTTAGTTAAAGGATTGTTTATACTGTGAATTGTGACCTAGAGTTTTACAAAATGTATTTTCTTTCACCAACACAATGGAGTCTGTGACAAAAGAGAGGTTTGTCTAAAGGTTTGTCTTTTGTTGTGCTCCTTCAGGTGGGTTCTGGTTGGGTGTGGACCAAGAAGCCGTGGCAGGTTCCCTTTCATGGGCAGGTGTCGTTTTCGGTGTAATTGCCAGCCTTTGTGTGTCTCTTAATGCCATCTTCACGAAGAAAGTATTGCCGGTGGTGGACGGAAATATTTGGAAGCTCTCCTACTACAACAACCTCAACGCCATTGTGCTGTTTCTTCCCCTCCTGATCATTCTGGGAGAGGTGAAAAGTGTATTCGAGTTTAGCCGGCTGACAGATTTACATTTTTGGGGTATGATGACTTTGGGTGGGGTTTTCGGCTTTGCCATTGGTTACGTCACAGGACTTCAGATCAAGTTCACCAGTCCGTTAACACACAATGTATCCGGAACGGCCAAATCATGCGCACAGACTGTGCTGGCCGTCGTGTACTGGGCGTCCGAAAAGAGCACGCTTTGGTGGACGAGCAATTTGATGGTGCTCGGTGGATCTTTCGCTTATACCTGGGTCAAAGGAATGGAGATGAAGAAAGCTCCAGTGCCTACAGAAACACAAAGCTTGAACCCTCAGAAGAATAAAGAAGACCTGGGCGTGTGAGAAATACATTGTTGTAGAGACTTTCTGTTTTGCACATGTGTGTATATATACCAGAGGTGCCCAAACCTTTTCCTATAAAGGGCCAAAAACCAAACTTGATAGAGGACTGTGGGCTGAATATATACCAAAGCATATTTATTAAATTTGCCATGGGTAATTTCCTAATTTGCAAAATGTTGCAATGAAGAATATTAACTAATGCAGCATTATTTTTAACATTTTATAATGAACTTATTACAGTAAAAACACAAACAATCCCATTTATAACACAATAGAGTTCAGTGCTGAACACACTAGTCGAGCTGCTCTTGCCTTTACCTTGTGCATTGTCCACTATATAAGTGACAGTACTTTACATATTAAAAGTCTGATTCCTTTACAACATTAAATTATTTAATTTCAAGTGGCTTTTTTGTAGCTCGGCAATAAAACAAAGAAGAAAAAGGTGACGTTGAATTCAAAATGGCAATCTATGACAAAGGAAATTCACCTCAACCCCTCCCCATCATTCTCCCTCTCCATTCACATGTGATGGTGGGCCAAATAAAAGGTTACCATGGGCCAACTTTGGCTCTACTTTGGGCATCTCTGATATATACGTTTGTAAATGGGCATTTTAATATTGTGTGCACTAAAAAATGATTCATTGGAATTACTCAATGTTTTTAAGGTACATAGTTGCAGACTATTTATTTGGGCTGAATTTAAGCAGGTGACAATGAGTAATGTTCAACTTGATTTGCTTGTTAAAATTCAGTCCATATACAGTTGAGGTCAGAATTATTAGACTCCCTGTTTGTTTATTTTTTTCCCCCAATTTCTGTTTAACGGAGAGAAGATTTTTTTTCAACACATTTCTAATCATAATAGTTTTAATAACTCATCTCTAATAACTGATTTACTTTATCTTTGCCATGATGACAGTAAATAATATTAGACTAGATATTCTTCAAAACACTTCTATACAGCTTAAAGTGACATTTAAAGGCTTCACTAGGTTAATTAGGGCAGTGGTTCTCAAAGTGGGGGTCGGGACCCCCCGAGGGGTCGTGGGACAATGAAAGGGGGTCGCCAGGTGATTTCCAAAAATCTATTTATTTTTATTAAACCATAAGAATTACCATATTTTATCCATAACCTAGAAAAAAATAGTAATTTATAGTTACTATATACTACTTTATTAAGTTACTATAGTAGCTAATAGTTACTAGTTCTATTCAATTGCGATCGCTGGGGTAATTACATAATATTAAAGACACAGCATAGCTGCATCTGATGCTTTCTGGGCCATATACAGCACTAACATACATAAAAAAATCTACGAAGAATAGACTTTGGTCTATTGGTGTGTGTGCACCATTGCATGCAAAGTTTTTGTATTTATAACCACCTCAGATGATATTGTGGGTCGCGAGCCACTGGCATTGTTATTTTGGGGGTCGCGAGCTGAAAAGTTTGAGAACCCCTGAATTAGGGTAACTAGGCAGGTTAGGGTAATTAGGTAAGTTATTGTATAACGATGGTTTGTTCTGTAGAATATTGAAAAAAAATATAGCTTAAAGGGGCTAATAATATTGACCTTAAAATGGTGTTTAAAAAATTAAAAACCGCTTTTATTCTAGCCGAAATAAAACAAATAAGACTTTCTCCAGGAGAAAAAATATTATCAGACATACAGTGAACATTTCAGTGCCCTGTTAAACATAATTTTGGAAATATTTAAAAAATAAATAAAACGGGGGCTAATAATTTTGACTTCAACTGTACGTAAGTAGTTTGCCACCACCTACCTTAAAAAAAAGTCCAGTGTAATCATCAGTGTGTATGCGGTTTCTTTGTAGTGTATATGGTAATTAATTATTAAAAAATGTTTAATGAAGGTCAATCTAGCACCATGTTTACAACAAACAAGATTTGTTGCTGTTTCTGATGAAAACACTTTAAAATTATGTTAAAACAAAAATATTGGTTACACTTTATTTTATGGTGTCCTTGTAATAGTTTATTTACGCAGTTAGACAGTGAGTAATATTGATTAATTAATAATGTGTTTACTGTAGTGGTGTTTTATGCATAATTTATTTTTATTACTATGGCTGCACTTTATTCTACAGTACAAGAACTTAACATAAGAAATTACAGTTATGTAAGTTATCTAAATGAAATAAGGTTAGGTTTAGGTGTGTAGCGAATACCTAGTCATTACTCATTATACTGTAGGGCGGCTGAATGCTTGATTCTGATTGGCTGATGAGCATTGATGGTGTTTGGTTATCTGTATATCACTGCGCTGAATGATTAGAGTTATTTCACCGCTACAACAGTCAGAAATCATAGCAAAACACAACAGAAGGCTTTGGAGGAGATGCTTTGGTGGGAGAAACTAACCTTACACCCAGAAGCAGATTAAGGACACAAACCTGACAAATACTGAAATGCAACATCTGAACCGTGGTTGTGTACACTATGCACTTATATACTATGCACTTGTACACTCAACCATGTAGTGTATGAGCTTAGTGCCATCCCGAACACTAATTGCATACAAAGGTGAAATAAATGACCAAATAACTGCTGTCATAATTATAACCATATTCAACATTTAGAGGTTGCAAAATAAATATAAAATAAAAAAAATAAAGTGAATCAACCTTGGGGAGGCAGTGGCGCAGTAGGTAGTGCTGTCGCCTCACAGCAAGAAGGTTGCTGGTTTGAACCTCGGCTCAGTTGGCGTTTCTGTGTGGAGTTTGCATGTTCTCCCTGCCTTCGCGTGGGTTTTCTCTGGGTGCTCCGGTTTCCCCCACAGTCCAAAGACATGCGGTGCAGGTGAATTGGGTAGGCTAAATTGTCCGTAGTGTATGAGTGTGTGTGTGGACTTTTCCCAGAGATGGGTTGCAGCTGCCACTTGCTGGATAAATATG